AGGCTAACCAGAAGGTTGGCAGTTCAAACCCACTAGCCACTCCTCAGAAGGAAGATTGGGTAATCTGCTTCTGTAGAGATACCGCCTCAGAAACCCAAGTCTCATAGTTGGAGACAACTCTACAGCACATACCAACAACAACAACACAGTATTTTTTTTTTACCTCTTTTTTTGTTTTTAGGTGTCCTCATTGGCCAATTGATGTCTATGGCTCCCTGTTTACAATCTTGTAAGCTTATTTTACTTTGAATACTTCCATAGCTATGTTGTTTTCCGGGTTATGTCATCTTATGTACTAATGGTTGGTGGTTATTTGCTGTTATTGGTTCTTTGTTCAGAAGAGACTCCCTTTAGTATCTCTTGTAAGGTTGGTCTGGTTTTAAAAATTCCCTTAATTTCTGCGTATCTGGAAGTGCCCTAATTTCACCATCATGTTTAAGGGACAATTTTTCTGGGTATATAATTCTTGGTTGGAAAGTTTTTTTCTTTCAGGGTTTTATATACACCATCCATTGCCTTCTCACTTGCATGATTTCTGCTGAGAAATCAGAGCTCAGTCTCATTGGTTGCATTTTGTAGGTAACTTTTCTTTTTTCTTGTGCTACTTTCAGGATTCTTTCATTGTCTTTGGTTTTGGTGAATTTGATGATGATATGTATTGGTGATTTTCTTTTGGTGGTTCGTTGGACTTCCTGAATGGATATATTCTAATCTTTCATCACATCAGAGAAGTTCTCTTCCAAGAAATCTTGGACAATTTTCTCAGTGGTTTATTTTTCTCTTCCTGTTCTGGAATTCTGATTACACGTAGGTTATTCCTTTTGATGGTGTCCCACATGAATCTTAGGCTTTATTCATTTTGTTGATCTTTTTTCTGATCGATGCCTTTCCAAAGAAGTGTTCAGGTATTTGTCTTCAGTCTTATTAATTCTGTCTTCCATTGCATCATTTCTACTCCTTTGCCCTTTCAATGTGTTATCTATTTCTGACAATTTAGTATTAATCTTCTGGATTTCTATCTGTAGATTTTATATCATTTATAATTTTTCATTTATTTTGTCATTTTGTTCTTGTATTTTCTTCCCAAATTGTTTGAGGGTTTTGTCCATGTTTCTACTTAATTTTTTCAGTGTTTTCCTTGATCTTTCTCTCAGTTCATTGAAGGTACTTAAGTATAATTCTTTTGAATTCCTTATCAGGGAGTTCCAATACTGCTTCTTCCTCAGAGATATGTTCATGGTCTGGATCCTACTCCTTTGTTTCTATCAGTTTATCTTGCTTTTTTGTGTGGATTGTGATGGTCTCTTGTCTCTGAGACATTATGACTTTGTTATGTTTATATTTAGTTGGTGATTGTATGTTGGAGTGACTTTGTTTTGTGGTTTTTTTTTTTTTTTTTTTTCCTGGCTCTATTGGAGTAAGCAGGAAACTTTTCTCCTCTATTTGCTAGTTGGCAGCACTTACGTACTCACCACCTGTCTCCTGGTGGGTGTGATAGAGAATGAGAGTGTCTGCACTGATCTCTGTTAACTGTTTGTTAAGAGCAGTTAAGGTGCATCGTGCTTTTATTTTGGTTGTGTATCATTGGCCAGTTGGTGCAGAAGGAGGTGGTGGCAAGTGGTACTGCAGGAAGTATGGGTATGGTTGCGTTGTATAGGAACAGTTGCTGTTTCCCACTCAGTTAAACAAAAACAAAAATCGAAAAACCAAGAAAGTGAAAGCAGGTGGACAAAAAAACACACTGCATAAGCACAGGAACAATCATTAAAAAGAAAAGAAAAAAAGGGGGAGAAGGCAATAAATGAGAGAAAATATTTAAAGAATATGCA